CTCTGGCTGCTTCCCGAAGGAGCAGTGGAGGCAAAACGGAGCTCAATGAAGCACCCCCCCCCTTCCATCTCCATCCTCCCAGCTCGAAGAGGCCCCCCCTGCCCCTCAACACCCCGCGCCCATCACCGTGTCCCGGGGCTGGGGGGTGTCAGGGTACCGGGCCGGGATGCTGATGGGTGGGATGGGGATGTGGAGGGAATGGGGAGGGGGCGAGTGCGGGATTGAGGTGCTGGGGGGGGGGTTGAAAGGTGCTGGGGGGGTTGTCGGGGTGCTGGGGTGAGGAGAAGGGCTCGGGATCGGCGTCCTGGGGGGAAGATGGGGGTGCGGGCTCAGGGATGGGGTGCGGGATCAGGATGCTGGGAAGGACCAGGCGGCTGGGGGGGACATCAGGATGCTGAGGGGGGCGAGCAGGGTGCAGGATGAGGGTGATGGGGTGGGCCGGGTGTGCGGGGGGTGCCGGAGGAGGGCGGGGGGGGGAAGGATTGGGGTATCGGGGGGGGCCCCAGGAGTGCTGGGGTGGGGATGGGGATGCAGGATGGAGGTGCTGGGGGGGGGGGGCGGTGCAGGGGAACCGCAGGGTGCAGGGATGGGGGGCAGAGGGGTGCGGGCTGGGGGTGCTGCGGGAGCCGGAGGGGTCGGGGGGGGCCCCTCCAGCCCGTGACCCTTCAAGGTTCCGCCCGCTCCGCCCGGAGAGCCGCTAACAAAAGCGCCGTTCCCAATGCAGCAGCCGGCGGCGGCGGGAGGGGGGAGGGCTGGGGGGGGGGAGCACCCCCTTTTCCTCCCATTTCCCCCTCCTCCATCGCTGCCCCCCCCCACCACCGGGGAGGGAACAAGCGATGGGGATGGGAAGGGGACAGCGGGGGGACGGGACCGAACCGCATGGCTCGGGGGGGGGCTGGCACCGCCGCGCTCTTACCTCGACGTCCCGGGGGGATCCGAGGGGGGGGCCCGGGGCACCTGCGCCCACCGGCAGCGCAGCACGGCCCGGCCCCGCTCCGCTCCGCTCCGCGCCGCCGCGGCGGGAGGCGCCGGGGCACCGGAGCCCGGGCGGGGCGGGGCCGCGGGGTTGAGGGGGGGGGGTGGGAGCCGGAGCCGGAGCCGGAGCCGGAGCCGGGCCCGCCCGGGGGCTGCGGCTGCACCGGGGCCGCTCCGGTACCAGCGGCGCTGGAGGAGCCGCCGCTGCCGCCGCTCCCGGAGCGGCTGCGCCCCCCGCCCTGCCCCCGCCCCGGGGAGGCGGCTCGGCCCGGCCCGGCCTCGCGAGGAGGGGGAGGAGGGGGAGCCGTCCCCTCCCCCCCCCCCGCACAAGGGCATCCCCCCCATCCCCCGCCTTAACGGGAACGGGGGGGAACGGGACCGCCCCCCCCCCCCCCCCCGGCCCTGCCTCAGTTTCCCGTTTCCCCGCATGGGGAGGCGGAAGGGCCCCAGCCCCTGAATCCCCCAGCAACGGGAACCCCCCCTTTGGCACTTCCCCCCCATTGGCACTTCCCCCCCTTTGGCACTTCCCCCCTTGGCACCCCTCTTCCTCAGTCCCCCCTCGCACGAGGGGCTCCCTCCCTGTGCTGCCATCCCCCCGCCTCAGTTCCCCTCGCACCAAGGGCTCAGAGCTGCTCCATGCCCCCTGCAGTGGGGGGAGGCCAGGCCTGCCCACCGTTGGGTGCAGAGGGGGGGCAGAGTGGCTTTGCCACCCCCCAGTCTCTCCCCATCTTCCTCCCCAGCCTGGTTCAGCTGAACTGGTGCAGGAAACCTCAGCTCAGCCCCCCGGGTGTTGGGGTGCACCCTGGGCGAGGCCACCGGCCTCTGGCACTGGAATTGTGCCCCCGGAGCCGCTTGGGTTCCCAGCTCCCCCGGAGCTCCCAGTGCTGGAGCAGCGTGGCCCCCGCCTGCATCAGCGCCATCGGTGCACTGAGTTGTGCCCAGTGCTCAGCCCGCCCTGAGCCGCAGGTTCTGTTGCCACCAGTGATTCACCTCTTCCTGCCTCTTGTCCGGTCCCTCCCGTCCCAGGGACAGGGATGGGGACAGCAACCCCCGGGGGGGGGACACTGGGCTGCCCGTGCCGGAAAGGGGGGGTCTCCAGGGGAAGGAAACCACGGCTGTGACTCAGCGCCTGAGTCACCTTCCCCAGGGGGAGCACTGAGGGGACCCCACGGAGCCCCTTGACCTGTTCACACAGCCCCGGCCTCGCTGGCCAAGCTGGGGCTAAGTAAGGCCAAACAAAGCTCCTCAGTTAACCCCTGCCCAGTTCCCACATGTCCTCCTACATGGCATGAACATCACCAACATCCCACAGCATCACAGCATCCCACAGCATCCTCATACCCCACAGCACCCCAGCATCCTACAGCATCCTCATCCCACAGTACCCCGATATCCACAGCACCCCAATATCCCACAGCATCCTTATACCCCACAGCACCCCAGCATCCTACAGCATCCTCATCCTGCAGTACCTCGACATCCACAGCACCCCAATATCCCACAGCATCCTTATACCCCACAGCACCCCAGCATCCTACAGCATCCTCATATCCCACAGAACCCTCATATCCCCCAGCACCCCGATATCCACAGCACCCCAACATCTCACAGCACGCTCATATCCCACAGCACCCTGACACGGGAATCCTCCCGGGTGGGAATTTTGGCCCGCAGTCTGGAAAACGGCAGCTTGGGAAGGGTTATTCTCGTCCTCAGTCCCTGTGCTGGGATTTATTCCCGGCTTTGGGGTTTATTTGACCTTTTGGGAATTGAGCGAGGAGCACGGGAGTGAATTCGTTTGCCATAAATCTTGCTGCCACTCGTGTGATGAGCGGTGCCATTCTCTGCCACGGGGTGCAGGGGGGTCTGTGTGCGTGTGTCCCACAGGCCTCATGCATGCTGAGCATGTGGGGTGTGATCCACAGCCCCCCAGGCCTGTCCCAGCACGTCCAGCATGGCATTCCATGGCATTCCATGGCATTCCCTTCTCCCGGCCCGTCCCGGCCCCCCAGCCCTGCTGGGGCCCAAGCAGGGGTTTGGGGGAGTGGTGCCTTTGCAGCAGCCCCCCAGGACAGGGACCCGTTGGGGGGGGGGGGTGTCATGGCACGGGGACAGGGACCACAGCTGGGATGGGTTCCTCTGCTCCCCATGTCCCCTCCATGGGTGGGGATCACCCTCAGCATTGGTTCTTTAGGGACCCCCCTTCACCCGCCAGGGGGGACACCAGGCAGGGCACCCGCCTCTGGTCAGAGCAGTGAGCTTGACCCCGGCTCATTGCCTTGCTCCCAGCCAGCTGCTGCTCCTACGGGAAGGCCCTGCAGGAGCCTGGAGTCATGGGATGAACTGGGAATCCTGCAGCATCCTCTCAGGCTGAGCCCGTGCACCCCTCGGTGGGTGCCAGCAGCACCCAGCATTGGGTGGGGGTGCTCATGGTGGTGTATGTGTGTGCATCCCTGTGTATGTGTGTGTGTGTGCATGTGCCTGTTCATGGGCATGTGCACATGTATGTGTGCATGCATCCATGTCCCCGTGTTGCTGGGTGCCGGGTGCCCTTGGTCTCTATGGTGCTGGGTGACGGGTGCCCATGGTCCCTGTGGCTCTGGATGCTGGGTGCCCTTGGTCCCTGCAGTGCTGGGTGCCAGGTGCCCTTGGTCTCTATGGTGCTGGGTGCCCCTGGTCCCTGCAGCGCTGGGTGCCATTGGCAAGGCCACGCTGGCGGTACTGGGTGGGCAACGCACCCAACAGCACCGGCCCTGCCAACAGCACCCACCTGGGCCCTCACCACAGAGCCGCCGTGGTGCCGCCGGCCGAGCAGGCACGGGTACACGCACACACGTGTACATCCATGTCCGTGTGTGCACACGCGTGTCCCTGCATGCGCTGGGCTGCCCGCGCTGCCATCACCCCCCCCCCCCCGTCCATCCCCAGCTGGCTCCGGCCCCCCCAGAACGCGCCGCGGGGTCCCCGGCACCTGCCGCCGGCCGTGGCTGCGCCGTGGCGCTGGGGAGGATGAGCGGTAATTAAGTTAATTTGCACATGCAAATCATCCGCGGTTGGAATCTGTTAATTTTATAATTCGATGTTTAATGCTCATCGCCGCTCTGTTTTCCCCGCCAGAAACCCAACATTTTCTGGGTGCTAATGACGGGGGCCGTGCTCCGGGGCCGGGGGACGCGCACCCCTCGGGCACCCGGATGCTGCTGATGGCGGCAGCACCGGTTAATCCCCAGCGGTGATGGGCGCTGCCGGCCATGGGGGTGCTGAGGGAGGCCGGGGGAAGGGGCGAACCCCGCAGCGTTCCCCCGGCTCGGCCGAGCCGCAGCCCAGCCCGGGTCGGGTTCAGACACGCACAAATCCCTGCCTGCGGCCGGGGCCCTGCTGGCAGGGGGAAGGTGCGGAGCTGCGGGCACGGTGCGAGGGAGGGAGCCGGGGGGGATGCGCCCCGTTCCGGAGGCAGCGCCGGCTCTTCCCATCCCTGTTGCCAGGGAGGTGTTTTGGTGGTGGTGAGCTGAGACCTGGCCGCTCGTGTCAGCAGCCAGGGGAGGGAGCGAGGGAGGGGGGCGCTGGCCACTGGGGTGTCCCTGCGCTGTGCGGCTCCGGTGGCATCCGCAGCAGCTCCCTGGGGAGTCCAGCACCAGCCGTCAGCACCTCGAATGCAGGATACAGAGGGGACACGGGGTCCTCGTCCCTTCCCAATGCATCCCTGAGAGCTGCCGAAAGTCCTGCCCGAAGAGGGGGGGCTGCAAAAGCTGGGGCCGTGTGCCGAGGCTGAGCATCACCCCAAGGTCAAGCATTGCCCCGAGGCTAAGCATCACCCTGGTGCTGAGCATTACTCTCTGGCTGAGCATCACCCCGGGGCTGAGCATTATCCTGCTGCTGAACATCACCCCAAGGCTAAACATAACCGCGGTGCTGAACATCATCCCAGGGCTGAACATAACCGTGGTGCTGAGCATCATCCCAGGGCTGAGCATCACTGGGGGCTGAGCATCATCCCAGGGCTGAGCATAACCTTGGTGCTGAACATCACCCCGGGGCTGAGCATTACCCTGGTGCTGAACATCATCCCAGGGCTGAACATAACCTTAGTGCTGAACATCACCCCAAGGCTGAACATAACCTTGGTGCTGAGCATCATCCCAGGGCTGAGCATCACCGGGGGCTGAGCATCACCCCGGGGCTGAGCATCACCGGGAGCTGAGCATCACCCCGGGGCCGGGCACTGCCGGTGCCGCAGGAGCTGGCACGTCCCTGTTTATCTGCGGAGCCGGCCGGGCTTTTGCATACGCCGGATTTGCAGGTTCCTTTGAAGCTCCAGCAGCTGCCGGGCTCTCGCCTCTGCCTCGGCGGAGATAACGCGGTTCCCCGCAGCCACCGCGCTCGGAAGGACGGCGTCACCGATCCTGCCCGGGGCTGGATCCGGCCGGGTGATCCCAGCAGGGCAGGGAGCGGCCCCTGGGGAGCCAGGGAAGGGGGATGCCACCTTTCTCCTGAGGACTAATTGCAATTAATCCCGTCTCATTGTTTACTCGGGGCTGATTTAAGCACATTTCAGGCTAGACTGAGCAGCTGAACATTTCTAATGTATTTTCCTTTCTGCTTTCATGACCTCGTTCCTGTCGCCCCGCTCCCATCGCTCTGCTCTGGGAGACAAGCAGTAACTTCATCAAGCTCATCTAGGAAGAGAAAATCTCTCCGTGGCTGTGCTTGGGGGTGGCCGGGAAGGAACCGGCCCCCCTGAGCCCCATGGACACCCCCTTGTCCCCCATGAGTGCACCCTGCCATGGCCATCACCACCGCTGGGCTCTCCCATCCAGCTGTTCCCATTGCACAGCCCCTCTGGCTGCTCTCCCCAGGATCTCAGGGCTCTCCCACTCAGATGTGCCCCCATGGCCCCATTCCAGCTGTTCCCCCCAGCCTGTCCCCATGTCACCCCCGGTCTCCCCTTCATCTCTCTCCTGCTCCGTTTCATCCGGAGCCAATGACTTTTGCAACCTCCTTTGTCCAACCTGGAGACTTTCTATTCTCTTCCCTTCCTCTGGTGGTGTTAACAACGGCGAGGGGGCCTGAGGACGTGCCCGTTCCCTCAGGTCCCTGCTGGGGGGCTTTGCACGCTCACCTTTCCCTTGGCAGAGCTCCCGCCTGCTCTCGCTCCTCCTCAGCTTTTCCCCTTTCTCCTTTGGGGTTCCATATCCTGGTGAGGAAGAGGAGCAAAGCGAAGGCTTTGGGGTAGACATGGTGGGATTTGCCCACTGGGCTCATAGCGTGGTGATGGGGTGATGAAGCACATCCCCACACCCACCCTCCAACCCCACTGCATCCTACTGCTCCTTCCCCATGGCCCCTCGTGCCTCAGTTTCCCCAGCGGCCCAATGCAGCATGCCCGACAGACGCCCCCCAGACCCAAGCACCGGCACCAGGCTGTCCCCATGGCAGGCAGCCGTGGGGATGCCACCAGCCCCCCATACGATTCCCTTTGGGAGAGGGGCTCTTGCCAGGGAAGAGCCGGGGCCGGCTCCTGGCTCGGGGCCCCGGCAGCGATTGTGGTTTTCTCCTCAAGCGTGGCTAAAGCCGCGCTCGCCGCCGGCACAGCCGAAGCCAGCAGCATTTTTCCCCCACCCCGGGGTAGCTCCGGCAACACCCGCTGCAGAGACAAGCCCCGGAGGGGGGATCGCCTCCTACAGCCGGGAGGGAACGGAAGCCACACAGGATTTCACCCCACAGGACGGGAGCAGGCTGCTGGTCCCCTCCTGGGGTTCATTGGTCGGGTTCCCCCCACCCCGCGTCAGTATTTTCCACCTTGCAGCCCGATTCTGAAGCCCCGATGCCCCCTCTCCAAGAGGACAAACCCCACGACACAGGCGGGGCTCTGCTCCCTAACGACCAAACACACGAAATTCAAGGACAAGCAGAGTTGAAGAAGCTGCTTTTTAAAAAGCATGATTTATTTACGCGATCCTTCCAGCGAGCTGGTAAGAAATGATGCGTTCCCAGCATCAAAACCGGTTAAAACCCTCCAATTAAATGGTAAGAATCCTGCTCTTCCTCCCTGGGTAAGCACCGCAGTTAAGGTCAGCTCTTTCCTTGCCTTAATTTGTGATTTTTTACCTTGATAGCAATTTTCCCTGCGCTGCAGCCAATTGGTAACCGGCCTCTTTTGTCTTTAGCCCTTCCTTTCTCCTCAGGAAAATCGAACCCCACTCTTTTTTATCCGTGTGTTATTTACACGCCGATGGGGCGATGCCCAACGCCAGGAGATGGGGGTGATGCTCGGGGGGATGCTCCGGTACCCACCACATCCCAGGGTGGGAGACGAAGCCACACCAGGGGAGCAGCGGGGCCGGTTGCGTTGGGCATCAGCCCGTGGTGTGTTTAACGTCGCCGTCTGTCACCGCGAGCACCGGGACGCGGTCCAGGGAGCGGTTTGTGGCAGGGAAGTGCCAAGGCTGCACGCAGCGGGCGCCTGGCAGGCGCCGAGCGCTTCCAGCGGCGTTTCCCATGTCCCTACCCCCAGCACGCTTTGTCCCCAAGGGGGTGGCTGGGCCAGGGTGGGGGGGGGGGGTTCCAGCGCCGCACTGGGAATATTCCCCCCCCTCTGGCTTCCAGATCCTGCATCCCGCTTCCCAGGGAAGCCTTCGGCCTCGCTGCCGCCCAGGGCTTTGCTCCGATCGATGCTCCAGCCTCTCTTAACACCTCGCAGGGATCGATGGACAAGGCAGGGAATTGCCTGCACTGGAGGGATATGGCTAATCCCCCTGGCAGGGCTCTGCTTGCGGCCACTCGCTTTAACCCTGCCCGTGCCGTGGCTCTTTGTCACTGCCAAAAGCCTGGTGTCCATCACCATGGCCTCTGGGTACCCACGCAGCGCCGCATCCCCAGGGCTCTCCCTACTTTAGCTGCCTGCTCCCTCCTCTGCTTGAGCTGCAAAGAGTTCCAACAGTCACCGAGAAAGCACCAAAATCCACCAAATCTTCCCCAAATCCTGAGCTTCCTGGTGGCTCCGGGGCCATTTCCCTGGGTGCAGGGACACCACCGCCTGCTACTGACCTTCCCTTGCCAGATCCCTGCCGGATCCCCATACCCCGCTTCCACAGAGCAGTTTAGTCACTAAAAGGCAATTCGGCACCTTAAAACCACGCTCTGCAAAGGGGTTCTGGGGTGTCCATGATCCCACGGGGCTCCGGGGTGGGTATAGGGAAAGGGCTCCCAGGCTGCAGGGATGCTGCACTTCCCATGTGGCCGAAGCACCGGAGCATCCTTAAACGGGAGCAAGAACCAGCTCAACTGATGCCAGAGCCCTGCAGAGCCCTGCCACAGCTCAGCACATGCCTGAGTTCATCCCAAGCGGGATCCACGTCTCTGAGGGGTATCACGGCACAGGGATGCTGGGGACGGCGACAGCCCGGCGAGGAGCTGGATCCCGTCCTGGGAAATCGGCTTTCGAGGAAAAGCGGCGCGGGGAGAGGGAAGAGGAGGCTGGAAAAGCTCCAAGATCAGCGGCACGGATACGAAACCATAAATTATCCTGGAGGCTGAGGCGGCTGCGGGGAAAGGCAGCCCCTGCGGGGAGCTGGGGACGCGGCACGGCCGGCGCTGACCCCGGCAGGGGCTGAATGGAGGTGAGCGGCTCCCGGCGCCCGCGGGAGCTGCGATTTCTCATCAATCCAAAGGGAAGAATTAACAGGAGCGGGCAGCCGGGGCTGCTCCCCGCATCCATCACCGAGGGGCTGCTCCCCGCATCCACCACCGAGGGGCTGCTCCCCGCATCCATCACCGAGGGGCTGCTCCCCGCATCCACCACCGAGGGGCTGCTCCCCGCATCCACCACCGCGGGGCTGCTCCCCGCATCCACCACCGAGGGGCTGCTCCCCGCATCCACCACCGAGGGGCTGCTCCCCGCATCCATCACCGAGGGGCTGCTCCCCGCATCCACCACCGAGGGGCTGCTCCCCGCATCCATCACCGCGGGGCTGCTCCCCGCATCCATCACCGCGGGGCTGCTCCCCGCTCTAAGTCACCAGCACCGAGGCTCTGTGCCAAAGCCGGCACCGCCGCTCGCCAGCCCCCAGCGTGAGCTGCTCCTTTGGTGGAGCATCTGTGTCCCGTCCCCCCCCCAATGTAACTGGGGAGCATCCATGGTGACAGGGATGCTCCGGTTGGGTTTGGATGATTCCCGCTGGCCAATGTTACCCAGCGCCGCTTCCCGGCATCCCCGCGATCTAATTACACCCAAGATGAAGCAGGGAACGCTCCTTGCCTTTAATTAATAACTCAGCCCCGCTCAGAGCAGGCTGGGAGCGTGAGCACCGCGACGCAGGCGGTTGAGGGTGCGCAGGTTTTGGGGGGCAGGGTACCCTGCACCCCACAGGCACCCTCCGAGCGCAGATGGGAAACAGGAGCTGAAAAATGACATTTAAATAATAAATCCCAGCTATTAAAGGGAGGCTGTACCTGGGAGAGGCGGCCGGCGCCGGCGGGCAGCAGGGTAATTAGACCACGGCTGAAATGATGAAAAGAGATCTGCAGGCTTTGAGGCCGAGGCTTTGAAGCTGGAAATCCTGTGAAAGCAGCATCCCCGCACGCACCCGCCGGGAGATATTTACCCAGGAGCTGCCTCCCCCCATCCACATCATGGCCAGAGCCGAGGGGAGATGCTGAGCCCGGAGGGATGCTTCGTGGTACCCTGAATTCTGTGTGGAGTGCTCTGGGGAATGGTAACCCCTGCACCAGGTATCGCGACGCTATGCTGGTACTGGCGGAGGTGAGTCCAGTGTCACAAACAGGGCTGCCTGTGCCAGGGAATGCCAGAGCCCTGTCCTGCAGGGAGCCAGCGGGAACCAACAGATGCTGGAGCTTCTGGGATGAATCATAGAACCCCAGACTGGTTTGGGCTGGAAAGGACCTTAAGATCATCCAGCTCCAGCCCCTGCCAGGGCAGGGACACCTTCCTCTAGAGCAGGCTGCTCCAAGCCCCTGTGTCCAACCTGGCCTTGAGCACTGCCAGGGATGGGGCAGCCACAGCTTCTCTGGGCACCCTGTGCCAGCGCCTCAGCACCCTCACAGGAATAAATTCTCCCTCATATCCAACCTGAACTTCCCCTGTTTCAGTCTGAACCCATCACCCCTTGTCCTGTCACTGTAGTCCCTGATGCAGAGCCCCTCTCCAGCATCCTTGTAGCCCCCTTCAGACACTGGAAGCTGCTCTGATGTCTCCACGCAGCTTCTCTTCTCCAGGCTGAACAGCCCCAATGTTCTCAGCCTGGCTCCATACAGAAGATGCTCCAGTCCCTGTTCATCCTCGTGGTCTCCTCTGGACTTGCTCCAGCAGCTCCATGTCCTGATGCTGGGTCACCAGAACTGCACACAGGGCTGCAAGGAGGGGTCTCACCAGAGCTGAGCAGTAAAAGGTTCAAACCTTTTGGATGAGTTCAGCCAAAAGGATACACGTTGGGATAGGGTTGGTGTCTCCGGTGAGCTCTGCCGGCCTGGCTGGAGCTGCTCCTCCAGCACATGGAAGGTCCTTGATTCAAAACAGTCCCTGAAGGATGTGGGTACCACAGCCAGACACGTGGATGAGATCCTGGGGAGCCAATGTGCTGCATCCCCCTGGCCATGGAACCATCTCCACCATGCTCACCAAGGCCATGGCAGTGTGGGGATGGAGCTCCTCCCAAGGGAATGCTGGGTGGGCATCCTTTGGTCTGTAAACTCCAGCCTGGCTGTGGCCATTCACCCGAAGGGATGCAACCAGACCCACAGCAGAACCAGGAGCATCCCAGGATGTGGATGCCTGAATGCACCTGCCAGCAGAGAGGACAGCTGTACGGAAAGACCCTTGGATTTGGCCTCCCATCTGCCCCAAAACCCTAGAGCAGGGAGTCTTGGCCTATGGGATGCCGTAAGGGATGTGGGTGAGAGCGGTGCGGCTGGGCAGGACCCCAGCAGGAGTGAAGCAGCAGCTCAGCACAGGGGCAATTAGCAGCTTGCGATTCCAGCTCCTCGTTAGGGGCCGGCACCCCGCGCTCTTGCGCTTTGTGCAATTAGTCGCTAAGTAACACGCAGATATTTATACCCCGGCGAGGCACCGGGACCGGCGGCACCGGGATCCTCGGGCTGGAGCGCGGCCGGCGCAGGGATCGTGGCGCTTTGGGACCAGCAGCCGGCTCCTGAGGGCCGAGGAGCTGAGCTCAGCGTCCGAGGGGCACCCTGGGGTGCTCCATGCGCAGGGGGGACCCTAAGGTGTGCGCCCGCAGGGATACACGGGGCTTTGCCACCCTGAGGAAGCCGCAGCAGCGCCGTGGGGGCCCGGTTGCGCTCAGAGCCGGTTCTATAGGGAAGATGTTTTCTCTTCCCTCTCACCCCACCCTAATTAATTGTTTTAATTAAGGAAATGCCACCTCCACTCCCGACTGCCATTTGCCTGCAGAAGCGGTGCTAATTACAGCGAGGGAAATGCGCTGTGGCTTGTTTAAACCCATTCGCAGGCAGCGGGGAGGAGGCTTCTGTGCGGGGGGGGGTGGTGGTGGGGCTAAAAATACATGAGGAAAGGGAAAATAAACGAGCTCCAAGCTGCCAATGGCAGCCCAGGGAGTGGTGGGGACCTGGGGGACCCGTGTGAGGGGTGACTGAGGTGTGGGATGTGCCTGGAGGTGGAGGTTTGGTACCTCCATCCATCCCCTCTGCCGGGCAGCGGGTGGGTGCTACCGGAGCGCCCCTCGTTACTGCACCACCCAGACCATTCCCGGCTTGGGAATGGGGATTTAGAGCCCAAGTTGCAGATGTGGAGATGCCACCAGCACCTCCTTCACCAGCTTTGTCAGCAGCAGCCAGGAGCTCGCGCTGCCTGCTGCTTTTTAACAGCTTTCATGAATTTTAATGGCCAGTTGCTGCCGGGTTTCTCCTTCTTTTTCCATAGCTCCCACCCCCTCCCCAGCCCTTCGGGTCACCCTGCTCCTCCTCTCAGGGCACGTCCAGGCACACAGCCAGCACTTGGCATCCTCAGAGCTCCCCAAAATCATTCCCCAGCTTCCCCTTTGCTGCCCCTGCAATGGGGATCTCACCCCGCAGGCACAGCCACCAGTGCCGGGGCTTCACTGTGGAGCTGCTCAGGCACCTCGGTGGCTTTTCCCGAAATCCATGGATGTGGAGGCCCTGGAGACTCCACTTCAGAAGTATCCGTCTTTATTAGCAGCTGTTTAACACCTCCCCGAGGGACCATAATGAAGGGAAGCAACTTAATCACCATCATGCAGCAAAGTGCGGGCGAGCGCATCTCTGCCGGGCCCGGCCGCAGCTGCTCCCACCACCCGTGGTGCTGCTCCCCTGGTGACAGTGTCCCTCTTGGTCCTGAAGCTTCATCCCTCATGGTCCCTCCAGGTTCTCTTGGTCCATTCTCACCCTGCAGTGATGTCTCTCACGGCCCCGAGCAATGATGCCCCCCTGGTCTGTCCAGGTCCCCATTGATGGTCCCTCCTGCTCCGTGCAGCAGCACAGAGTTTGGATGGGAAGGGACCTTAAAGCT